CATCTTTATACTATGCCATGTACCTTTAAATAGTGGTATCCTCTTTCAGTTTAATAGAAGTCAAAATTGCTGTGTCGTTGTATTCTCTCCACATTGTCAATTAATAATACATCTTGCCTCTGCGTTTAACTCTCTTTTCTTCTTTATTTTAAACCTTGAAATATATTATTATATTGTTGCAATCCATATTAACTTCATATCGCGTCATTAACTTCATTCTTTACAACCCATCGGTCCCAACAGTAAGACGAGGCAATTCATGTGAGACTTTACTTTCTCATCACAAATTCAAATCCGTAAATTGCTAGTCAACAATTTACAATCTAGTCTTTCAAGTTTCACCGTGTGATTTAAACCAATGTGATTTGTGGATCAAATATACATATCAAACAAGAAAAAGAGGCTTCATTTTTCTTTCTTTCAATTTGTTTTCATTGACTTGCCATCGTACTTGTCACATCGTCTTTTTCTATGCTCTTATAAAAGAGGAAAGGGGAAAGGGTAATGAAACCCAGTAAAAGTATGGAAGCATTAAAAATAACCTTTATTTTCTTTCTTCATATTCTCCTTTTCAATTCACTTCCATTTGCACTGAACACTGTATCATCTAAGAGACCAGAAGCAGAGGCTCTTGTAAGGTGGAAGAACGCCTTATCACCTCATGATTCTCTTGATTCATGGGACCTCAATAATGTTAGGAATCTATGTAGCTGGACGGGGGTTGTATGCAGTACTGAGGGGTTGATTTCTGAAATAAACTTGTCAGGTGCAAACCTTAGTGGCACGCTTGACCAACTCGATCTTACTTTATTTTCAAATCTCACAAATCTCAACCTCAGTCATAATGATTTCCATGGGTTGATACCATCTACTATAGGTAATCTCTCCAAGCTCACTTTCTTGGATCTGAGCTACAATATGTTGAGCGGCATCATTCCACCGGAGATTGGAATTCTGACAGAGCTTGAGTACATTAGTTCTTATAACAACAGCCTCAGTGGGCAAATTCCATATCAAATTAGTGATCTTCAAGATCTCCGGTATTTGGATTTTGGATCCAATTACTTGACATCTCCTGAATGGTCTAAATTCAAGAGCTTCCCCGTATTGACATACCTTTCATTTTCTTTCAATTCACTCACCTTGGGATTTCCGGATTTTATACTTTCTTGCCAGAACCTCACTTATCTTGATTTTTCATTTAACTTCTTTATTGGTGAAATTCCAAATTCATCATTCACTCATCTGGACAAGCTTGAATATCTCAACCTTACTGGTAACTCATTTCAGGGTACCCTGCAATCGATTTTTACCAAGCTGACGAAATTGAAAGGTATTGAGTTAGGAGGGAACAACTTCTCTTGTTTAATTCCTGATATTTTTGGCTTGATGCCAAATCTGGAATTCCTTGGAGTAACTTCATTTCAAGGAAATATCCCATCTTCTTTAGGTAAACTCAGGAATCTTCAACATCTTTATCTCGAAATCAATAGCCCACTCAATTTCACAATTCCTTCTGAGATTGGCCTCTGCACAAACCTTACCTACTTGGTTTTAGCTGGGAATTCACTTATGGGATCCTTACCTTTATCCTTCACCAACCTGACCAAGATATCTATATTGGCTATCATTGATAGTAATCTTTCAGGTCACATCTCACCTTATTTTTTCACAAATTGGACCCAACTAACAAGATTATTTATTGAAGGAAATTCTTTCACGGGGGAAATCCCATCTGAAATTGGTTTGTTGACAAATCTCAATTTGCTTGTTCTAAGTGGCAATAGATTTTCAGGCTATATCCCTCAAGTGATAGGAAGCTTGCGAAATTTATCCATCCTAGATCTTTCAGTCAACTTATTTTCAGGTCAAATACCTCCAACAATCTGGAATCTAATAGAACTTAAT